TTAAGATTCTTACTCTAGCAAAATCAGAAGTATTGTGAAAACCCAAGCTATTGTTAAGAATCCTCTAATTCCAAGCTGGCAGGCTGTGTGAATTGTAAATTTTACATTTGTTAGTGCAGCTAAAGTGGTACCAGCTTAGATAATAAGCAAATACCTACTATCCTTTGTGAGGATCATGTGAACCATGCTATTTATAGACATGTGAATGCTTGTATGATTTTGTTCACTATGGTGCTGATATTTTAAACTGTGGTTGTACTTTAAAATCGTTTTAAAAGGCATATATCAGTTTCAGCCAAGCATTCAGAGCTCATGATAAAAATGTATGTCAAAATGAGTTATTTAGGAACAGAATTTAGATGTGACAAAATGCTGTGAAGAAAGCCAAAAATTATCATATGTATTACTATTAGTTTAGAAGAAGGTACTACTCTGCACTGTTAGCCAGAATGCCAACTAAATTAAAGGACTAAAGTGTAAGTTCATAAAAATTGTTGTATAACCAAGCAAGGATGGTAGATACAATGCTGGCATTAGGGGCTAATACCAGTGTGGCTATAATGTGTCCCTAAATCATATTATTATTTTTACTAAGGCATGAAGTATTTTATTATTATTTTTAAGTGACAGATCATAATTGTCTATATATGTGGGGTACAACGTGATGTTTTGGTATACGTACACCATATGGAATGATTAAATCCAGCTAATTAATATAGCTTTTACTTATTTTTTGTGGTAAGACATCTGAAATTTAGCAGTTTTGGAATATACAATACTACTGTTAACTATAGACACCATGCTGTGCTATAGATCTTAAAATCTAGTTCTTCCTGCCTAACTGAAACTTTTTGAACAGCACATCTTCATTTCCTCTCCTCTCCCATTCTCTTATAACTACTATTTTATTCTCTAAGGAGTGAAGCATTTTTGATTATTTGAAAGGTGGACATAGTAATGTAAAGTTTTACTCTAAATGTTTGTTCTACCTTAGTATATTTTTAAACAAAAGTATATGAGGATTTAAAATTTATGAACTTCAAGAACCCATTTCCCTATTTTACATTTGTTTCATTGAGAAAATAATTCTTGAAATATGAGCCTTGCACAATTTTCAAAATCTTTAAGAAAGCATCCCTCATAAAATGTGATTCCTTTGTGTTTGCATATGTGTATGTCTGTTTATATATACATGTGCACATATATACATAAATATACATTTACACACTCAAACACATACATACACATTTTCCCCATTCATTTACTTTTATGTAACTAAACTCTTATAAAGACACTAAAGCGGACAGCCACCAATATTACTCTGGGGGTCTGAATATAATCATAATTTATATAAATTTTATACTTCATCCCTCCACACATATCATTATATTAGTGTACCCATATTCTGATCGGCTTCTAGTTTTAGATAGGCTTGTAGTTGTTTGTTACTTTTGTATCCTTTTTCCTTTTAAAGGTTGTCTTCCACTGCTTATTTTGTAGGGTTGTTCCCCAGTGTATGTGAAAAGCAAAAGAATAAAAAAACGCTCCTCATTTTATGAATAGGTTTTGTTTCAGGTCAGTTGCTTGGCATTTGGTATATAGTTTTTCCATAAAAATAATGTTGTACGTGGTGGCTAAATTTCCAAACCAACACATAGAACCTATTTCTTCATAACTGACTTAATTACCATTTGTAACTTGGTTTTTGTGAGAAAATGCATTGTAACTTCTAACTCCTGTAACTTCTAACTTCCTTAACTCCATTCAAGAGCACCTTCTTAATTCCCCGGACCCAGCCCTTGCACACACACACACACACACACACACACACACACACACACACACAAATAATATTGGGATTCCTTTCTCCATGTTGCACCCAAGTCTGGGAGTGGGAATATACGCACGGCCGATTCTCAGTGCAAAAGATTTCATGGTGGATAGAAACCTGGGAATTCTGTGATGCTAAAGAAGAATTAGAAGATGAGGCCTAAAAACAATGTCATCTCCTTTGTTGCTGTTCGCAGCCTTTGGCAATTTGGGCTGTATGGATGGCTCCAGTGGAGTTGGGAGGTACGGTGATGTTAAGGATGTGAACTCACTCTCTCCTTTGGGAGATAAAGAATTGGTGGCAGCTCCCATGTTTTAATTGAAAACAAGTAATTAGTGCCAGATCAGCTCTGGTTGTGCAAAATAAGGTGTAGATAAAGGGAATCTACAAAAAACCTATAGCTGATATCATACTTAATGGTGAAAGATGGAATGCCTTTCCCCTAAAATTGGGAACGAGGGAAGGATGTCTACTCTCACCACTTCTATTTAACATCACACTGGAAAGTGTTAACCGGTGTATTAAGGCCAAATAAAGAAATTAAAAGGCACATAGATTGAAAAGGAAGAAATAAAACTGCTTCTAGATGACATGATTGTTTACATAGAAAATCATAAGGAATCTACAGAAAAATTCTTAGAACTAATTGAGTTTAACAAGGTCCTAGGAGACAAGGTCAACACACAAAAATCAATTGTATTTCTATGTACTAACAATGAACATTTGGAAACCAAAATATTTAATAGCTTCCCAAATGAAAATTTTAGATTTAAATCTAACAAAATAACCTCTTGTTCTCATAATTTTAGGCTCTCTTTATATTTAAATCTTTACCTTATTTTTTTAGTTTTTTTCTCCTAAATACCTTTTTCAAATATATGTCTCCACTCTTCTCTAAATTTTTTTTTTAATAAAATAGGTTAAATCTCAAACTCCAAAAAACTACTTATCTTGTTGTCTTCTTATGGAGTTTTGCAGGATCGAGTATTTCTTTTAATAAGTGCTATCCATGGGGTCTTATAAATTCTTGCTGCAGATTTGTTTCTGTAGCAATAATTGTTGTAATACAGTGTGACCATTAGGTGTCTGTGGCTCAGTGTTAGCCCTGTCACACAGGCTGAGATGATTTCATTCTGAATCTTAAAGTTTCTATTATATTCAAATTTCCTCTCAGTGCAAAGAATAAGAAAAGGATAATTTATTGATAACTCTTTGTGGTAACTGGGATTTCTGGGGGTTTCTTCTTTTCTTAAAAAGACTTATTTGTCCAGATTGTAAGGAGCAATTGAGAGAGTTAACTTTACTTAGGTGTAGATATGGTTGCTTTCTAGTTCCTCTTACGCACATACCACAAAGTCTTCATAAACTGTGCTGAGCTCTCCCGGGAAAGGTAAATAACTTGCATTGCTAGTATATAAATTATTACTACGTAAGTTTAAAAATGCACACTTTTATATGTATGCACATCTCAGCTTGTTAAAATAACTTGTAAGCTCTTTGATACTAGGACAGTGTATCTTTATAGTTTCCGTTCACAGCACCAAACCCAGAACCTTTGTGAAAGAGTATGTGAATGATTTCAAACTCTCTCTCGTGTGTGTGTGTGTGTGTGTGTGTGTGTTCTAATTTTCATTATTATTTAGAAATAAAGTCCTTTCATTTCTGTATTCTAATGCTGATTCTAAAATTTAGAAATATTTAACTTTAATGAGCCAGTTTGAATTGTGTCTGATGTGGAGCGGAGTGTGTTCAGTGTTTGTGGCTTTTGTTTAGGTGCATGCGAGGGAACTTTGGCTTGCTCTACCTGTCACCTCATCTTTGAAGACCACATATTTGAGAAGTTAGACCCAATCACTGATGAGGAGAATGACATGCTTGATCTGGCATACGGACTAACAGACAGGTAAGATTTTAGGACTGCTTCAGTTGTACTAATAATCTGGGAAGGTAAATGTTTTATTACTTTGTGTCTATTCAAGAACAGACCCATGAATGTAATAGTGTTCTCCCAGTTTAGATTATAGTCACAGATTCGAAACAGCAAATATGTGGCATTTCTCTTGTTTTCACTGTTTTATAGTCTAGCCCTTATGAAATGTTCCTTTTTACAAAAGTTAAAAAAAAATGGAAATATTAAAAGTGTAAGTTCTAGATACTAATAAATCTTCTTTGGTCTATTTTTATTCCAGGAATTAATATTTATTACAATTTAATGGATGGGATTAAATTTAATGCTTTTTATAGTATTCTTGAAGGACACATTTGATAATTGAACAAAATTTTAGGGAAAAGTTTTACCTATTTGAAAGAACAGAATTTTTAAAGCAACTTAGTATATAGTAGTAATTATGTTAAAGCGAATAGTTCTTTTTCTAAGTGTACATTAAATTAACTAGAGCTTATTCTTGTTATTAATTAATGGGTAGAGTTGGTCTTAAAAGTGGTATGATTTACAGTAACAAGTGACATCAGGTGATATCTTTTTTTAAATTATCTTTTGGTTGGAGTCAAGGAAGGTAGCCAGTTGATTTACTTTTTCAAGGAGTAAGATAATGAGGGCTTCTTACTTAATTAAGATTGGCTTTGTTTAGCTGTTATTTGGTGACCCTAATGACAACTAATTTTTAAAAAATTTAAAATAATAATAATAGTTTCATTTTTATGTTTATTATGTAACTATAATTTTGTTAGACACTTAACATAAACTACCTCGTTTAATCCTCACAAATATTTTGAGGTCATTCGTACTTACCGTTTTGTTCCTTGTGTAGTTCATTTCCCTCCTGGTGGAGATGAGACTGATACTCTGGGAAGAGAAACTGGGAAAATAGTATCTCTTTAGACACCAAAGCAAAGTGGACTGTGGCTGCCATCTACCTGTCCTCTCTCACATTTTCAGTACCATGTTCTCTATCAACACCTCCTTTTTTTTCCTGAAGAATTACCCAGAGAATACACCGAGTAGCTTTATAGCTTCGTTCTGAGAATTGTGTCTCTTAACAAGAGGGTTAAATCACAACCAACTGCTTGCCCTTTTATTCAGATAAAATGTGTAGGTACATATAATAGATAATACTCTAAGTGAAAACAAAAAGAAAATAGAGGGAGAGCTACAGTTAGAAGAGATACAGAATGTAATAAGATAATAACTGTAAACTAGTCAAGAGCATTGATAATAAAATTTCCAAGTTTTAGAACTAGATAATGGAGAGCAAGAAATAGCTGTTATAGTGTTTTATAGCTGGTATTCTTAAGTACACAGAATTTTAGCAGAGATGCTTCGTTGGGAGAGAGTATAATGCGTTTCACAGGTAGGATTTATAAAAAACACTTTGACGTATTTGCAATGGAAGGAATTTTGTTTAAAGCTAGTAACCACATGTAAACTCCTGTTTTTAGGGTACCATAAAGTTCTAAAACAAAGAAATAGGGAAATTCAGGCTTTTAGTTTCTATGCTTACTTTACTTTAAAGTTAAGTGCTATGTAAATGCTTTTAATTTTTAGGAGGAAACACCATTGTTTTAATATTTATTACTGGATATACTTAACCTTGATTGTCGATGGATCGATGATACATGGACAGCCCCATATAGTTTTTTTTTCATACTGGTTACTTGTCTCCTCTTCTCTTTAGAACAGGGCCACATCTTATCATTGTATCTCCAGTGCCTGGTTCACAATGGGGAGTCACCAACTGTTTGTGAATTAATAGTTGATGGAAAGGGAGATTCAGGAATTACCTGCGAATCTATAATATGTTGTATGGTTGTCGTTGGTCCCTGCACCAGTTTCCATGGATAATCTACATAGAGGCCTCAGATTCCTTATCTCTAAGACGAAGATAATAATAGTACCTACCTCAGAGGGTTGCTGTGTAGAGTTAATGGATAAATATATGTGACGCTCTTAAACAGTGCCGGTGAAGAAAGCATTCATTAAATGGTAGTTGTTAGCATTATAACTACAGTCATATCGATTTATATGTTGGGAATTTACCCTGATGCCTAGTCACTTAACGAATATCATCTCCATCTAACCTTCAGGGTTAGGCAGTATTATCACCATTTTGTAGGTGGGAAAACAAGGTTTCGTTATAACATTTGCTCAAGGTTGTTCAGCTAGTGGGTGACAGAGCCCTGACTGGAATCCAGCTATGTTGGGCCTCAGAGCCCTTGGTCTGTTACTATTTCCAGCTGCTTTTCTGAATTAAAAACCAAATCTTAGAAGTAAAGTAAACAGAACACCCGGTCTATTTTCACTAAGGGATATGTAGCAAGAGTTACTGAAGAAAGTGTTTGCACAAGTGTCAGAACTTTGTGGGACTAACATTATGAAATGAAGGAGACTTGCTGTCTGTCTCCTCTAGAGACACTGTCTATACTGGGTGGATCTTGGAGCCAGAGACCTTTACGGGGGTTGAGTAAGTAGGAGAGTGAGAAGGCTGCCATGGAGTGCCATGCCTTATCTTCCAGAGTGAACAGAAGCTCTCTGTGCTGCCTCTCTCTCTGTTCGCATAACAGACTTCTTGTTCATCTGTCATCACACTACGATGTCCTGCCCTGTTTCATTGATAACTGTTCCCATCTCTGTTTCCCTTACTAAAGTAACAGTTCCTTGAAGGCTAGCATTGTCTTTCTCGCTTTATATGAACACCATGAGTAACCAATAGTCTCTCTAGAGCTCACTGCAGTCCTAATGAATTTGTCCAGACTGGCTTGCCACATTTTCTCTCTTGCAAACAGAGCTTAATGTATAGTTGAGCATTGTCAAGGTTATTTCTAATTCTACAAGTAACTATTGGTAGAGGAGATTTTTTTCTGTGTGCAGTCATTACTTCCATAGTTAAGCATACCCCTTACTTCAGAACTTCCCAGTGGTTCCTCATTGCTCACCAATTAAAACATAAACTCCTTAATTAGTATACAGAGCTTTTCGAGGCCCTGGCCACCTTTCTGGCCCCTCGTTCTCCTTGTCCTGGTCTATGCCACGTAGTAGCCAAGCTAAAACACCCATCTTGCTCAAATGTGCCTTGAACTTCCCTGCACTCTGTTTGCCTTATGCGTCAAATGCTTTTCTCCTTTGTCTTTTACTAAAAAGTAAATCCTACTCATCTTCCAAAGCCCATTCTGGATACCAGCACCATCTCCCCTGGCCAGAAGTAAGTGCTTTCTCCTCAGACTTCTCAGAGCCATTTGGCTTTCTGTCTCTGTGGCATTTGTCACATCACAGTCTCACATGTTAATCATCTGTGAATGTGTCTCATCTCTTCTATTTGATTGAAAGTTCGCTCATTAATGCTGATATTAGCAACTAATCCTCACAGCAGTCCTGTGAGGGACCCTCTTATTAATCCATCTGGAGGATTACGTTAGGAAACTAACGTTCGCGAGGTTAAGCAAAAGCAAGTTGCCTGTGAACACGCTGTATGAAGGGCTGGATTCTAGACCACTGGTCTGTTTGGCTCTAACCCCTGTGCTGTCTCCTTATTGCATCTCTGGTGCCTAGCACCTAAGAGGTGTTCGGTAAGAAAGTGTTGAATTGAGTTGCTCTTCTCTGTGTACTCACTGACATTAGTACTATGCTGTTAGGTGCTCAGTTAATGCTTGATGTATACATTAATGAAACCAAGACCTGCGTATCACATTTCATCAAACCGAAGACAATTTGATTAGAAGATTAGCATTTATTTTCATGTGCCAATAAGAAAGAAAAAAGCACTACTACTTATTAAAATATGGCACAGTGTTAGCACTTATTTTGTGCATATTGGGAGAGTTGTTCAGACTTCTGTAGACATTGATTTGAGTTATATATCACTGTTAAAAAAGGAAAATATAAATAAAATTGGTATTCTGCAAAAAAAAAGAAAATATAGTCATCTTTCCAATTACAAGTATTTACTAATATCGAATTTACACTGTGCTGTCTTTTTGTATTCTTCTTAATTTTTGTTTTGTAATCTTTTTGGACTTATTTTGAAAGGTAGTTAAAATCAACACATGTGGTATTGATGTACTTCCCATAACTAAGTCGAAGAATCCCCCATATGAATATTGTAACCAAATTTTCAGCTATAACAGGACATTACCTCTCGGTGTAGCAGTGATTGTAAGATGACATTGATTTTAAGATGCTTCCTGATTTCAGAGATAGTAAAAATGTGGGGAAAAAATATGCTCTTGTAATTGATGATTTAAGTCTATGCCTTTATTCCAGATTTTTCATTTTAAAGGCTTTTAAAAGTGTGGCTTTCTTTTATGGTCTGTATGGTTTTAATTATCTAGGAAATGATTAATCATTTTCTTGGCTTTGCTAATAGCCTCAGTTCTCTTCTCCCTATCGTGCCTTCTGATGATTTCATTGCTTGTCAGCTTTTTCACCCAAAAGTAGTTATTCTGGTGAAATGATTAGTGGGGAATAGGAGCTAAAGGCCATAATGAAGCTTTGGCACACCTGGTCCATTGTTTTTCATATTTACCTTCTAATTGATTGGGTTGGTTCTATATGTTTTGACCTAATGGAAATTTAAAAGTTAATAAATTCCCTGACTGCTTTGGGTAAGAAAGTATTAAAATATCTTAAACAACTGCATTGCCTTGTGAATAATACATAACTTAATACTAAACCATACCTTCCCGTTTTTTACAGATCACGGTTGGGCTGCCAAATCTGTTTGACAAAATCTATGGACAACATGACTGTTCGAGTACCTGAAACAGTGGCTGATGCCAGGCAATCCATCGACATGGGCAAGACCTCCTAAGCCAGAATAAATAGAAATATTTTTGCGAAACTTTACCTCTTTTTATAATTATTATTGATATAATTAAATGTGAACATGGATGAATGGACCATGACTAGCTTCACTACTTTAATTCACCTTGTATTACTACTGAATTTTGTAGTTCTGAAAATATGCAATTTTTAGTTTGGTTAAATTGTAAAAATGTCAACAAAATATTAGAAAATAGTTAATATGACAAAACCTAACATCCTTTACCTTATATTTGTTTAGCAACTTTAGCCAAATGTTTTCACATAATCTTGTATCTGTTTACCTAGAAGGTAGGTTTAAAAAAAGACCATCATTATCCCTGTTTGATATGAGTGAAGGCAGAGATCTCAAACAGCTCGTTTAGGGCCATGTAACTAATTATAAAATCTGTACTAGAGCCTGCATCTTGTTACTACAAGTTATATGTTCAGACTAAAACTACAGAAATTATGACTATCTTATTTATAGCAGTAATTAAGTCTGACTGTGTATGGATAAAAATATTTAATTGCTCAGTGAACTGCCTAAGTTTAAAGATAGTTATTAACCTTATAAATAAATATTTCAAAATTTTGATTCAGTGATAAGTGTAAGTCTGACCGTAGACATTATAATAACACTATCAAAGAAGTTTGATCTCTGCTTTGACTGAATGGGAGGAATAAACTAAAATTAGATGTCTTTATTCTTTTTTATTCTAAGCAGAACAGTCTGTCTTTCTAATCTTTTAAAAATAATGCTGATTTATAAATCTCTGCCTCTAATAGAATGGAAATTTTATGAAACAGGTTTCTGTGTCCTGAGCTGGAGAAGGGAATGAGCAGGCTGCCACATCGCACAGCCCCAGGGGGCGCCCTTCTCTCACACAAGGACAGAGCTGCACAGTGTGCAGCGTGCACAGCAGTGTACGGCGGTCTCAGAGGGTATGGGATGGTCTGAGCACCAGATTGCCAGTTACGGGTGGAAGACATTTGTATCCTTACCTTTACTATAAATAAATTCATAAAAGTTAATGAAGGAGTACACAGTATAGTCTTTGGAAATATAATAAAAAATCAACTAGGACTAATTGTGAGGAAGAGCAGAACAAATTAGTAAAAAAAAAAATGAATTATAAGACAATTGTATTGGCTTCATGTACATCACTGCAGTTTGATCATTTGTGTAAATATTCATCAGGTACAGTGCTTGACATACAACTTCATGTTATGCCCACTGGGGATACAGAGATGAACAAGACAAGGAATGCCCCCAGGGAACTCACCCTTTATTAGGAAAAGATAAAACAGTTGTATGTGAGGTAATTTGCTCGAACTAAACTGGCCAGTTTGCAAAATAGGACTTTAATTAATATGTGAAAAGTGATTAGGAAGAACTCGAAGCATCTAATTTTCACTTAACACATAATAACTATTGAATACTTTCTGTGTGGAGAGTGCTTATCTTAGTTTGTTTTTTGTTGCTGTAACAGGACATTTATTTGAGTCATGGTTCTGGAGGCTGGGAAGTCCAAGAGCATGGTGCCAGCATCTGCTTGGCATCTGGTGAGGGCCTAAGAAGGCTGTATCATAACATGGTGAAAGGGCGAGAGAGCAAATGGGAGCCAAACTTATCCTTTTATCAGGAGCCCACTCCTGAGATAACTAACCCTACTTCCAAGGTAATGGCATTAATCCATTCATGACCTAATCACCTCTTAAAGGCACCACCTTTTGATACCATTACATTGACAATTGAATTTCAAAATGAATTTTGAAAGGGACATTCAAACCATAGCAGTACTATACTTCTAAAGTACTTTAAAGACAATTTATTCTCTTAATTAGCCTCAGTATTCTTCTTGTGTGGATTACCTAAGCTCTCCAGAACTACTTTAATGATGATGTTCAACCAAAACACTTTAAAATTTAGAGTCTAAATTCTCAGATTTCAAATTAGGAAAGTTCAAATTAATACAATTTAATTATATTACTTAAACCTTCTAAATGTATTAAATGGAGGACATATCTATAATTGGTTTGTATAGAGATTATTTTTCCAGTTTGAAATTAATAAAATTTAATTATATTACTTAAACCTTCTAAATGTATTAAATGGAGGACATATCTATAATTGGTTTGTATAGAGATTATTTTTCCAGTTTGAAAAAAATCCTTCCATATTGGATGTATGTATGTTCTAGGTACATGTTTTGGTTTACTTATTGCTGCAAAACAAATTACTCCAAAACTTAGTGGCTTAAAACAATAATAATCTTTTATTATTATAGATACTTTCTATGAGTCGGGAAGTTCAGAGAATGCAAATTAGGGATGGCTTGTTCTGCTCCACAATGCCTGGGTCCTAAGCTAGAAGACTCAAAAGGCCAGGTGCTGGAATCATTTGCAGGCTCATCCTCGTATGACTGGCAGCTGATGCTGGTGTCAGCTGAGAGGTCTGGGAGGGGATATTGGCTGGAACACCCACACATGGCCCCTCCATGTGGCCTGGGCTTCCTACAACATGGTAGCTAAATTCTAAGAGCAAGGTCTTTGAGAGAGAGCACGTTTGCCAGGCAGAAGCTATATTCTTTTTGTGACCTAGTTGTAACAATCACACAGTATCCCTCCCACCCATTGTTTCATTACAAGTGAGGCACTAAGTTTGGCCCATTGTTTGAGGGGAAAGATATCAAAGAATTGTAGACATCACAATAACCATTCTTTCAGGTTAACTTACTGGCCATTTATTGCCTCTCAATATTGGCCTTTCAGCTACCAGGCTTCTAAACTTCTTCAGAGGAGCTAGTTTGTCCTCTTATGTTTCAAAGATTCTTGTATTGTCTTTTTTACGATGGCTTATTTGTTTTATTCTACAACTCTCAACGTTTTTCTTCTTGACTGTTGATTTAAATGAAAGGGAAAATGGTGGGCCCCCTTTCAGTGCTGTGTGATTTTAGTTCACCTTTCTTAGTCATTTTGCCATCAAGAAAGGCATCTTCTTTTGGTATAGTATTCTATGTAATTGTTGATTGTATGCTAATACTTAATATTGTATTTGGTTTTCACAGATAAAACCAACCAGTAATTACATAAGTAATTCAGAACCACTGAATTAATTTCTTGAGTGAGCATTCTGAGGATTTCTAAAACCTTTTGCCTGACTTTCACTGTGAAAATACTGTGTAATTTTTGTCTCAAAGGACAACTTTCCTCTTTTCTTAATAGCTGCATAAGTATCATATTATAATACATGTGGTCTCTGTAAGGGTCATTTGGCAGTTATTAGAACAATTACATTTCACTTGAAAAGTTGTTTTCTAAAGGAGACTTAGACTCCACATATTCTCCCATCTTTTCTTTTTCTTCCTTTTAACAACTCTTAATTGCTTTTCCTTCCTTAAACTACCTGAAATTTTACGGTAAACCACATTTTGGATCAGAATTTGTTAGACGGCTTTCTTATTGATAGGATAACTTATTATTCTGTAAGTTTAAAAACTAGAAAGAACATGTGTACATTACTAAAAATAGTAATGCAACTTTATTATATTTTATATTTTTTTAAGAGAGAGAGTCTTGCTATGTTGCCCAGGCTGGACTCCTGGGCTCAAACAATCCTTTTTTCTCAGCCTTCCAAATAGCTGGGACTATAGGTGTGCATCACATCTGGCTTTGAAACTTTAAGTGTAAGCCGCAGTAAGACATTCAAACATTACATACAAACTTCGTTTTCTATTAGAGAAATATTGAAGAATAGAAATATCATCTTGCTTAAGCAACAACAGGATTCCTTTAAGGTGTCAACACATCACATGATAGCAAGTTATTTTTATCAGACTTTCTTTTGTTGATAAGTTTCTAGACACTGAAAAATTAGAAAACCAGCTGGCAGGAGGAAGGCATGATTGCTAGCAGACACAAACAAAGGTGGCCATAACAGAAATGGGGAGGTAAAAGATAAGTTAAATCCACCAGAAGCAACTTCCAAGAGGAGTTGATGGGAAAGATCTTAACAGTGACAGGCGTCACTTCTGCAATAACTGTTAGTAATCAACTGCCCAATAGATATCTGATGCCTCTTTCCTTTTGACTATTTGCTTATTATCTAAGATGTCATTTAATTTTTAAACTTTATTTAATATTGTGAAATTAAGCAAAGCCTTTTTGCCTTTCTGGTTCCCCTTGTTTACTAGCGTTTCTGAAATCGTCACTACTCAGCTCGATCTACCTCCGTAGTCCTTCCCTCTCTCCCATCTGCCCCACTGCTCTGCCACAGAATGCCCTTGAGAGCACTTACTGCACATAGCGGTTGACACCGATTACATCAGCATCTCCCCCCCGATAGAATATAGCGTTTATTCTTCTTAAGAATAAGGGCTGAGTTGTGTTCAATTTTGTAACTGCAATGTCTATCATAGTATTTTGTCCATAGTAGGTGTATAACAAGTTTGAATTAATGAAAACCTGGTCTGATAAGGAATATGCTTCTAGCCTTTGGCTGTGTGGCAATAACCCGTTACGGATGGCACTACCTGAACTCAGCATAGGTCAGTATACTGAGCCTGCGTTCTAACCCTAATTCAGCAGGAGTCAGAACGCACAGGAATGTTTTCTTCAGAGGTCAGAGAATTTCTACTGTATTGAAAAAAATACATCAACTTTTTTTTTTTTTTTTTTTAACATACCTCAGATGAAACAACTTTTGAATGAGCTCAATGCAGGTCCCTCTGCTGGTTTTGATCTTGTAGACCAGTGGATCTGAAGTGTGAGTGCTGAAGGTCCTATAGGTGGCATCTGGACTCCATCCCCTGGAACCATATGGTACCATCGTGGTCATGTCTCAGCCTGAGTGCTCCTCCATCACGTAGAAGTGTCTGGCATCGTGTGTTTCTGAAAGCCCCCAGTGACTTCTCATAGTATTAGGCTTCCCCTGAGTTCTGATGAGGGTTCCTCGAGGCAGTGGAAAAGGCATCTGTGGTTCACAGAGTATTTTCCCCAATCAAGCAAGCCAAGACGGAGAAATATTGAGAAATGCTTTTGTTAGTATTTTTTGTTTTAACCTCCTTTCTTTGACAGGGCCTTATTTCTTAATCTGAACTCCAAAGACTGACCCTTAGAGAGGCAGCAAAGTAAGTTCTCTTATGTCCCAAGAGAAAGTATCGGATTTACTATTCAAAGACCTGGGTACTGTTTTAAAAATTACCTAAAACTTGGAAGTAAAGCAGAAAGATC